CCGTGAAGCTTCTCCATCACAACAAAGACCCGTTCTGGAGTCTCGAACATGCACTCCAGGTTGACGATCCCAGGGTGGTGCAGATTCTGAAGGAAAAACGGATGAAGAATTGACATTTTAGGGAAAGTGACTTCCAGCAGCACAGCCACAGCCGTCAGAGTAACGTGAACTTCCAATTTTTTATTTCATGGAAATAAAACCGTGGCTTATTTTCCTGCCTGCGGTTTGTAAATCACATGGTTGAAACAACCAGCTACTTGTTCAAGTTAAGGCTTCATTTGAATGAAATACGACACCTGATGTTACTGAGCGGTACTTTATTAGCAGACGGTCATCACCTGTAGTATGGCCACTTCGTTTCTTAGCTGACTCTCCTGCTTGGTAGGAAATCTCATCTTGTCAATCACCTTGATGGCCACGTCTCTGCCGCTCTTTCTGTGTTTCCCTGTCATAAAAATAAAAGAAGAACTTTACAAAGACAGATTTCCACAAATGCACCAGTAAGCTAACTGATGAAAGCCTACAGCCGAGAGTGTGAACTAAAAAGACTGACTTAAGGGTGGATTCACACTAGCGCCAAAGTACCGTGCCCAAGTATGTTTGGGCTCTAATGTGTGAATTCTATGGCTAGTGTGAATGTAACTGTTCTGAAGCGCGGAACACTTAGCCACACAGTCGCACAAGCGTGGTTAAATATGTTTCCTGCTCGAAAACCTTTAAATTTATGCAGCAGGATTGACTACAAAAGTCACCGGGGAACAAGGGAGCGGGAGCATTAGCGCTTCAGTGCAGATAAACATCTCTGTCTTTCTTCAATTCCTGTTAGTATCTCAGCAAGGAGTTCAACTAAACAGGATCATGTTCCCATGTACATTGTGAGTAAATATATACTTTTTTGTGGGTTCTCCCTTACTTTTTAAATATTATAAAAAAAACTTAGCTCTGACTGACATTTAAGTTTTTAGTACATTTAGCCAAAATGTTTCTGTTTGTTTTGGCTAATAACTGTGTCACTGTATTAAGAGAGAGTTGAAGTTACAGGTATTATGTCCACAGCATTTAGGTTTTAACCCCAACAAAATAAATTGGGGTTAAAGTACATTTTATATTCTGTTCAATGATAAGAAAAAAAAAGTTTTTCCTAGTTGAGAACATAAACTAGACCTGTATGAAAACTCTGGGGTATGATATCGAAAGAGAAACCTACCTCCGTACACGATGCCAAACTGACCAGATCCCAGCACCTCATCAGAAAATATTTGGTACACAGAGGCAATGTCCTACACACAGGGAAAAAAAGAAAAGTTATTTTTACTACAGTATTTCTGTTTTCGGGAACACTTGGAAAGTTCATTTCTATTTTCTCGTCGTCGGCTTCCTCATTTATGCAAAAAAAAAAAAAAAAAAAAAAAAAGAGAATTTAGGTGGAAGTCGATGTCCGGTACAACTTCTGTTGTTGCCACACAGATGACATACATGTTCAGGCAGCGCTGACTTACCACATTCTCCTGGATCTGACAGTTGGACACAGATATGCTGATGGACAGCTCTTCTGAAAGACAGAGCATGTAAGGTCAACCACATGACGAGGGGAGAAAAAAAAAAAAGACACTTCTGCATTTCAGCTTTCAATTATACCCCAAAATGTCCCTTCTATTACGGCTGTGAGCAAAAAGGTGCAGCCCAACATAATACAGCAGGGGGCTTGTTTAGTTGAATGCAAATTTGATGGAATTGAGGAATTGAAGAAAGAGACAAACAAAGACGCAAAACTGATGTAAAGGAATTGAAGAAAGAGACAAACAAAGATCTTATTCAACAGTCTTTGTCTTTTTTAGTTTTTAGTTTTTGTAGCCGTCTGCTTTCACCTAATGCGGGGGTGGTCAACCAGTCAAGAGCCACAATTTTTACCACGTTACCGCAAAGTTACCGCCACATGATATATGTCCTTTGTCACCACTGGGTCACCTAGACCCGAAGGACCACATGAGAGTTAAAACTTCCTGTATACATCTTTTCATCTGTGCGAATTGGGTTTTCCCGAAATAATTTGCGTCAACGTTCACATAGCGTTAAAAAAAAAAAACACAAACATAAAATTCGACATGGGCGTAAGGGCCCTATAAAATGGGGCAAAGAGCCGCATGTGGCTCCCGAGCCGCAGGTCGGCCACGCCTGCCCTAGTGGAAGAACATTTAATAGTTCGGCCTGTCACTGTCATATCTCGGCAGACAAATTATTTGCGGTAAATTAATAGTAATTCTCACATTAATTCCTTCTGTTTTTGAGCTACAAACAGATCACTGCCAGTGTTGGCAGAAGAAGGCAGCGTGTTGTTGTGTTCAAAACGTACTGTGATCTTTGCCTTGTCCCGCAGCACTGGCTACACTGGCCTGGGGGGTGACGGGCATCAGGGCCTGTCTGATGGCCTTCTCCCAGCCCTGGGCCACGTCCATGCCCACGCCTGACGCAGCCAGGGCTGGGTTGTGGTAGTGGCTGCAGTTGTTCTCCCCCACGTAGTAGACCATTGTGGCCGTGATGATCTCGAAGCAGTGAGGGTTGCTGCCTTGGGCCAGATTACTGAAGTCTCTGGAAGGTTCTACCTGCAGGATCTCAGACAGAGGGATTTCCTGTAGAGGGGACACAGAGTTACAACCATGGAGTTATTTGGAATATTTGGATGTGGAGTAGGCGTGGAAAGATAAGAAGCACAAAGAAGCTTATCCGTTACCGGGTCACGGGGGCAGAAGTCTCCACGACCGCCACCCAAATCAAACTGCACCATACCAACCCCCCTAAACCTTCCTGCAGGTGGTGAGTCCACTGGAAGGTACCAACCGCCCTAACTGGGTATCGATCTTGCCCAGGAGGTGAACCCTGGGGTTCCACACCAATGACAGAGACATTGACTCTGGGCCAAAGCGCCACCATTATAATATTATTATATTAAATATAAAGAAGAATGATTTTTTTTGTTAGTTTCAAATAACTAGGTAGTCTCTCCAATAGGTGGCAGCTATGCAACCAAAAACCCAAAGAACGAGGAGAAGCAGAAGTGGAGTGAGCGAGTGGATTATCGTGGACTGCTTTAGCAACGCTAATCATTTTTAACATGCAAATATTCCTGGTGTTGGTTCATGTTCTTGTTCTTTTCTTTCTTCTCTAGTGATTCCAAATGTAGATCCCTCTGTTCCAGAGTTAGGAACTGATGTTCAGATGGAACAGAGTCTGAGACTAGGATCACACTGGGGGAAAAAAAACACCTCAATATATCGCTATAGTATCACAATATATGGTCTTGTTGCCCCTGTATGTGGTGATACCCTTTGTATCGCCAGATGTAATAAATGTAAATATTAACTTCATGGTCCAGATGAAAGATAAAAATGTTCACCTTGGATCTGTCAGGATTAGATCTCTGTAAAAAAGGTTGCAGCTTCACACTGAAAACAACAGCTCATGGCATCACAACTGCAGGAATTATAGCCAAAATTATTATGGACCAGAAAATATTGGACCAACCCCAAAATTCCCAACTGGTAAAAAAAAAGTCCAACAGTCGAAATGGCGAAAAAACAACGCAACACAGACATAATTCACAGTGAAACGTGAGTTGTTTTGCTAATAAAATCTCACCGATACCAAACACAATAAGAAATCAATGAACAAGAAGACAAATAATTAGTCAATTGACAAAAGAGTAAAACAGAATGATAAGAGCAGAACAAACACTCAATCCTATTTAAATAACTTATGAAAAAATATATAAAATATATGTTACTTCCTTTAATATTTAAGGATCTATTTTACAAAATCAGAATCAGACAAAAAAAAAAACATTGTAATGATGACAAAAACCCAGAGAACAACAGACTCATTTTACCCTTTTACAAAATACGTCTCACCGACCCGACACAGACACAATTCACAGAAATGAAACACTCACGGCGTCTCCGCTCTCAGTAGCTGTCTGTCCACTCTGTGATCCAAGATCTACCTTTCTCCTCTCTTCATCTGATATGATCCTCTCTAGAGGAAGAGCTGCAGCACATTTAAAACTTCCCCCTTCACCCTTCAAACCCTCTGTCAAATCAAAGAGACGAGGGAGGCTCAGGAATTGAAAAAAAAAAAAAAAAAAACACAGAGAATTTCCAGCCAATAAGGGGCTTCTCCCGGCACACGCTGTCCCCTCCGCGTGGCTCACCACAGAGTATCAGATGAAGTGCTTGTGGTGAGCGGGGCCTGGTCACGTGAGCGGGGGCCCTGCGGCGGCCGGAGCGCTCTGGTTCCCTGATTACAAGGCAGGGCCAGCCAGAGGCCCCATCTGAGCAGGAGTCACTGGCGCTACCGCTAGCCACTAAGACGGAAGACACGGCAACTTCACTTCTCCACAGACTGGTGCCTGTGTGTTTGATTGTGACAGGACTCAATCTGGCGGAGACACAGAGAAGCCCCCTCACCCCATGAAGGGTTCTTCAGAGAAAGCCACAAGTACAGGGGTCTCGTCTTCAAACAAGGACGGCCATTATGGCTTCCAAATGGTGGAAATGGCTGCCATGCCCTGGCGAGTGAGCCACCACGCGACCACCGCTAATCAGATTGAAGGTATAAAGGAAAAAAAAAAAAGGCGGAGAGGACGGTAGCCACACAATGACGGGCAGCGGGCCAGGGACTTCAAGAGGAACGAAACAGAAAGGAGCAACGATTTACCGGATACAGATGGAGAATCTGTGGTGTCTGACGAAAAAAAAACCCACTGAAAGAACCATTTTCCCCCCTGAAAACACCGGCGATCTCCTTTCACATTTTCATTTGAATAAATGAAACTTCTACCGCCGTTAAACCCACGGGCCAGGGCAGTCTTTGAGCACAGAAGGAAGACCTCTGAGAGCAAGCCTTCAATTAGCCTCCTGAGGATCTTCAACCAAGCCCAGTGCCAAGTTGATTGTAAAAGAACCACATAAAGATGCCTGTAAACACCCCCCCCCCCCCCCCCCTGTTTCATTTCCAAGGCTCTGGCTGCAGGGTCTGCAGGGTGTGACAGGGTAAATGGTAGAGCGAGGCAGACGAATTAAACTTTTTTTTTTTTACTTCAGGCTTGTTGCACAACCAGAGTGATGTTTAACCCTTTCATGCATGACGGTCACTACAGTGGACAGCTATTAAAATGTCATTTTCTATGATAAGAATAGGTTTTGATGGCAGTGTTGCATATAAGCCTCTACAGTGGACGCATGAGAATCACCCAACACTGCCATACAGTGGTCAGCCTTTGCAACTGCAGAATAATTGTGTCAACATTCAAAAAGAAAATTTGGTGTATAAAAACAGAACCAAATCAGTTCTTATTTTTATGTCTAAAAACACATTAAAAACACTTTAACTCAGTATATCATGGGTCATGCATCAAAGGGTTAATAAGACAGAATAAAAGAAAAGGATGCAGCTGCTGAAAAACAAACAAAAAAAACAAACAAAAAAAAACCCCAGACATTAAACATGCCCAGAGAGTGCCGGGGCTCAAACCGGCAACTCTGACATCACAGGCGCACAAAGTCCCACTGTCGCACTGTGTGACCACAACTGAAGGAGGTGTCAAAGTCACAAAACACACACAGCAACATGAACCATAAATTACTCCCCTCCCCCACCGTCGTCTATTACCTCCTCTCCTTATTACCCTAAGACACACACACACACACACACACACACACACGTACGCATCATCAACCCACATGTGGAAGTCTTTACCTTGCAGCCTGCAGTTCCCTCCCTTCGTTCTTGGGGTGTAATTACTGTGCTATTAAGCCCCTGCGGCAGTGTAATGACTGACTACGGAGCTGGCAGCGAGCGGGAAGTGTCACACACTCTCCGCAACTGACGTTACACAGAAATCCTGCAGAACTTTACTTACAGGCTCTGTGACTCTGGATTTGGAACTTCTCCGCTGCTCAGAAGTGTCTTTTCCGACAGTTACTGCCTTCTGCAGAACTTTAACCGATCTGACACACAGAAGCTGAAGGCTGTCGGACGGACGGACGGACGGACGGGTAGAGAGAGCGCACGGTCTACTGTCGAGGACGACGGCAGAAAAGCCCAGGGGAAATTTTTAGCGATGTGACCTGACCCTGTTGAACTTCACAGTTACAACAACGTGTAATAACACCTTCAACTGTAGGTGTGAAGGAAGTTTTTCTGTTTATTTTGAAGTGAGGTTTGAGGTTTGAGACCAGCAGCGGAGATGTAAGAAAATATTGATACAATGAAATATTGTGATTTTTACAATACTGTAAAATTAATTTATTAAAAATTACCGGTGAAATATTCCTGGTGTTGGTTCATTTTCTTGTTCTTTTCTTTCTTCTCTAGTGATTCCAAATGTAGATCCCTCTGTTCCAGAGTTAGGAACTGATGTTCAGATGGAACAGAGTCTGAGACTAGGATCACACTGGGGGGGGGAGAGTCTGAGACTAGGATCACACTGAGGGGGGGGGGGCAGAGTCTGAGACTAGGATCACACTGGGACTACAGTTATTTTTTTCTTCTTTAAATAAATATATCAGCGTGCCTATAGTATTGCAGAATATCACCAATCAATATCATCAATATATCGTATCATGTCTGTGGTGGTCTGAGGTCATTTATCCAAAAATAGTTTCAGTTCTGACGAATCCTCTTGGATCAGAGGTGAAACGTCTTAAAAGAAAAAACCTACTTCGTCCAGTTGCCTTCGTTGTAACTATTTGAATACTGAATATATATCGTATCGTTGATGCCCGTGTGGCGCTTTGGCCCAGAGTCAACGTCTCTGTCATTGGTGTGGAACCCCAGGGTTCACCTCCTGGGCAAGATTGAATCCCGATTTGGGTGGAGGTCGTGGAGACTGCTGCCCCTGCGACCCGGTAACGGATAAGTGGATGAAAATGGATGGATGGATGGATGGATGGATGGATGGTTGATACCCGTATCGTGATACAGGTATCATATCGCCAGATTCTTTCCAATACACGCCCCTAACCAGCAGCAAAGGATTAATTTATGTGGAGCTAACGGTTAGCATCACGTAGCTTCATCTTCGTCATTAAAGTCACAGTTGTTTGTACAGCTTCACACTATATAACTCAGAGTTTTTTTTGACACTTTGAATATGCAAGGATTTCCTTTTAACCCTTGGATTATGTTGAAAAAAAAATTACATTCATGACATGTCATTTTCACATTAAAAATGTAGGAAAATGAGGCGAGATAAAAAAGTCTTTTTGAAAGGTGAAAAATATTAACTCAATACTTTTTAAATATACTGTGGGAATTATAATGTATTGCATGTTTTCTAAAATGTTTATATAATCTTATTTGACTTTGATCTTATTTGTTTTGGTGGATTTACACCGGTCAGAATGACCCGCAACAACAACAGACTCTGCACAGACGTTCCACCAACACACCAGTGTCAAACACTTCAGACTGAACAGGGTCAAACTGACCCTTAACACAATTAATTATTTCAAAATAGGTTAAAGAAAAGACAAGAAAAACTGCTGATGGTGTGTTGATGTACGGGGGTGCAGCCCCCTGGTGGTATTTTCTCCTGTGGGAATGCATTCATATTTTGAAGAACTGCCCATTTAATTACTATAATGTGACTCAAGATCTGCCAATTACCACAGCTGAGCAGAGGAAAAAGGCAGAGATGAAATTGTCATTCTTACTTTATAGAACTTGGCTCCAGTGTCGTTCTGGAACAGACTCAGACTCTTGCTGTCCAGCCTCCAGTAATGTCTCTTGCGCTGGGAAACAGTAAAAAGAACAACGTTAGTCGGAGGAATTCTCAGTCCGAATTGTTTCTACTATTTTTTTTTTTTTTTTGTGAATTTAGTTGTCAGCTACAACAGTGGAGTTCATCTCCGGCTCGAGGGTCTCACCAGGTTGTCCCTGCTGGTGTAATGTACCATCCAGCCCTCCTTCACCACAGTGGAGCTCCGCCTCTTAGTGTGTTTAATGGACTGGACCACCCGCATCAGAGGGATGTTGCTGCTGGTGGAAGGACTTTCAACAGACACATAAAACCTTTTGTTTAAATAACAATATATTTTTGTTCTTAATAAAATCAAATGGTTTTTTTTTTTTTCAGGCAGCCAGTGTTTGGTTTTGCCTTCTCTAACAGGGGTTAACATGCACGGAAACGTGATGTGGTGGTAACACTACTGGTGTAGAATAAACACAGACGTTGGCGTCAGGGAGAACCTGGTGGTTGGAGATATAAGCACAAGTCTCCGCTTTGAATTAGAACAGTGACCTTTTCTGTTTCGTTCTCCCTGGACCCTGACATTCTACACTGAAACCAATATTATATTAAAAACAAAGTTTCAACAGCTGGCAGGAGCCGGACGGTCTTTGCGGCTTGGACAACAAACTGAAAATTGTGGAAAATGTGTTCTTCTCACCTAATGGTCTTGATGGGCTCTTCATCCTTCTCCCTGTCCAAGAAGGGAGAGTCCAAGTCAAACATCCTCTCGTCCGGTGTTGACGGTTCCTCCGGGTCGTCCAGTCCTCGACCGCCGTCCATGTCGTTGCTGTCCACCTCCATTGTGTCCATAGTAGTGTCTGAATCTGGACCTGGACTGGCGGGTTCTAGCCAAGAGCAACAAACATATCGTGAAGGTGAAGGTGAAGACAATCACTTTAAATACAGTGGAACCTCGAGATACGAGCGTCTCGACATACGAGTATTTCAAGATACGAGTAAAGATTTGAGATACTTTTTAGCTTACAAACGCCGACACTAGGTGGCAGCCCATGCTAACTTCCGTACGTAGCGTTATCTACGTGATTTTTTTATTTTATGCATTATTCTTCGTAATAGTGATGAGTCCTAAGAAAGTGAGTGGTGAGGATGATGGTGAGTCAATAAATATGAGCGTGGTGTCGAGGTACAACCACATCCGCCATTAGCCGCTACTGTATCGTCTGTCTCGAAGGTAAGAACTTGAAAAAAGAATTAAACCACATTTTATTTTATATCACAGAAATCCTTATAGACTATAATTATTTTTGTGTTTATGTCTCTTTAGCAATTAAAAAATATTTTTACATTGTTATTACCACTAATAAGGGATTTTTTTTAAAGGGCTGGAACTGATTCATTTTTTTCTGTTATTTCTTATGGGAAAAAATGATGGAGATACGAGTCCTGGAACGGACTGTGCTCGTTATCTCGAGGTTCCACTGTATATTACACTTTATATGTGACCAAATGTAAACTCTACCTCCATTAAAGTCCACCTCCCCTAAACAGTCTCTCGGTACCTTGGAAGCACATCGCTTATGACAGTTGAACCTGCAGTCTGGCAAAACACAAAAAAAAACAGAGTGAATTAGGAACGAAACTGTTGAAACACCACCGTCATTTTTTTCGGGGTCTTTTATATAAAGCTCTACCTTTACGCTGCCGTCATTTTTTCTGGTCTTTTATATAAAGCTCTACCTTTACACTGCATGCCCTGACGAAAGATACCCTTGAGCAGACGCTTGCAGTACTGACAGATGGTGGGCCGGGTGTAGGTGTGGATGGCGAAGGTGTGCGGCACCTTAACCCGGCCCAAAACCATCTTCTCCATCCAGATGGGCCGACCGCTCCAGGACAGGATCCGCTTCCCGGCCTCCTGATGGGACCTCTGTCCCTGTGGGGAGTCCAGTAAAACAAGGGAAGACCAATTTTAAAATAACCAGCGCAGGAAGTGGAGGAAGTGAGCGAGCGTTAGATGACACCGCTGTCAATCAAAGTGTTTGGACTCTCTCGTTTTTGTGATCTGAATAACCAAACATATTTGACGGTGTTATGTGAAACTTCCTCCACCTCAATCAGAGCAGTTCTATATTAGGACCCTGGAAGGAAAAAAAAAAGCTGAAGTGGCTAAGATTAGAAATTCCAAATAGCAGCAAAGCGGCTACCTCACATTCTTGGCCAGTTCACCTGATTTCCACTCTGATTAAAGCTGACATCACAGCCCAGGCGAGCTTATTGTGAGTGGAAGTGGAACAAAAAAAAACAAAAAAACGGTGGTTTGTAAGAAATGTTGAATTCTGCAGTTTTGGTTCGTCCACAAATATATAGAGCAGAGGTGTCAAACATACGGCCCGAGGGCCAAATCCTGACCGCTAGCGGTTTCAAACATTTCATGTTGGTGATGTTTTGTCAAATTAAATTTCATTAAATCAGAGAACAGGAGAACAGGGAGAGATGGAAATCAATGTATGTATTTTCAGAGTAGAAGATATCAATGATTCGCTGTAGAAAACCCCTGAAAAAGGGACAAAGCCGAAAGAAAAAGAAGAAGATTTTCTAACGTTCTTGTATGTATTTGCAGGAAATCAAGGGGGGAAAATAACAACTTGTTTTTATTTATTGAAAATTATGTTTTCATTGTACTGGTATGTTGCCCCTGAACCAAAATGAATTTGACTCCCCTGAGCTAGAGCATTGTTTCCCAAAGACTGGGTCGCGACCCTCAGGTGGATCGCAAGGGTTTTTTGTTTTTTTTTGGGTCGTCTCACATCGTGTTTCCCAGGAGTTTACGAATAATGTCTGTTGACTTGGATACGGGTGCCCAGAAAAAATAGTTTGGGAAACACTGCTCTATTCATGTACTGTAATATATAATAGTCTCCACGAAGCCTCACCTCATCCGGGACGACCACGGCGTTCTCGACCGGTACCGGCCGCGGTACGGAGAGAGAGGGTACGGGCAGTGAGACATTGGACAGTCGTCTCTTCCTCACACCGGTGCAGTTGTTTGGAATCTTGAAAGCACATCGCTTGTGGTAGTTCAACCCACATCCTTTTAAAAAGAAACAAATGACATTAAAACGTTGTCCAGCTTGGCACCACCTAGTGGTCAACAACGTCCCAAAGGCAGAATAATGGCGACAAAATGTTTACTTTTTTTTAAAATATGTCAAAATAGAAGAAGAACTAGAACTGTTTTTAGACCATATGAGAGTGAAAAATTCCCGCTTGCGTGTCTAACCTTCACATTTGAGCCCCTGCCGCACCAGACCCCACAGCATCTCCCCACAGTAATCACAGAAGGTGGGGGCCTTGTAGGAGTGGACAAAAAGAGCATGAGGTCGGATCTGGAAGTCTTCAACCGTCGCTTGAGCTACAAATTACACACATGGTACGAGAAAAAAAAAAAAAAAAAGTTGAGAAAGAAAAACAAATCTGGAAAAATCATTGAAATCATGGAAAATTGTACAATAACATGTTGAAAACAAAGATGGATGGATGTCATGTGTAAGTTTTGAAATATGTCAAAGGAATGACGGGAGGTAACTGAGAGGAACCCGTGTTGTTCCCACACTGCTACACTAGAGGGCATTACATCGTTTGTGGCACCGGGTGTCATTCATATCAATGTGTAATAAAGGACACACCCAGAGGTAACGCAGTAATGCAGCACGACTGTGTTTCATCAGTCCTTCTCCTCTGTAACCACCGCACAAAATAATAAATCTCAGCAGAGCAGTAACTACAGTAACTACAGCTCTGCTTTTCTCTCTCTTTTCCACCAGAGTTTGCCTGGAACAATGGGCTCGGCCCGCGCTTGGAAGCAAGTCACGGCTGTGAATCATCACAAATGTGAGCGTGAGTCAGAGTGTGCGCTGGTTTCTCTTAAGGTGATTCAATCAAACACGCTGGGATAACACTCTGAGCTGCTGCTGTTGTTGTGATGAGATGCAGACGTGGGTTAGGGTTAGTAGAAAGTGACATGTGGCCAGTCATCGTAACAGCATTTTAAAAAACAACAAACGAGAACAGACATTGTATGAATAAATACGAAGGAAGAGAAAAAGAAAAACACGTTCAAATGGATAAAAAAACATTTTGAGATAAATAAACACTGAAATGATCCACTTGATCTGCTTCTTCGTTACGGCTGTAAAAAGATACAATGAAATATCGCGATGTTACATTTCGCACTGTATCATTTTTTTTTATTCACAATTAACATGGAAGTATTCATGGTGTTTATTTCATTTTATGTTTCATTTGGACACCGCTAGTTTGATTGTTCAGGGACGGCGTATATTTGTATGTTTTTGCGACTTTGAGTCAAACAATATACCGTCTTTTCCGTCGACTATAAGCCCCTACTTTTTTCTCACGCTTTGAACCATGCGACTTATACAAAGATGCAGATTTTCTATTCTTCAGCCGCCAGTTCAGGTATATAAACAAACATTTACGGTACAAAGTCTTTCTGTGTTCCTGTGTATCCGGTAAATCTCAACCTGGGTATCGGCGGCTCAGACTCCGATGCGTCTTATATTTGTAAATGTACAAATGTCAATGCCACTGTTCCAGTGTTACTAACCTGATGTTAAGCATGTAACGGCATCGAGTGTTAAATATGCTGACAGTTTTACTTCAATTAAATTGTTGTTTTTAAAAAACTCAATATATCGTTGTTTCCCTATCGTATCGTGATACGTATCGTCTCTCCAGATTCTTGCCGATACACAACCCCAATGTTTTGTCCACGGGAATTTCTACTGACATCACAGCTCAAAGGCTAACTTTAAGGTCAATCTAATAAAAAAAAAACTGCAATAAAATTCTGAGGAGATTGTTTAAAAAGCCACATTGCTGCTCTGTGTTGACAACAGCAGCAGCTGCAGGGGTGATGTTGACTATTTGGGTTTGATTTGAAAGAGTACAGACGGGTCACATGTCATCGCTTCCCGGCACTGACACATGAAAGGCAGCATTCATGGGCTTTTTCACACATGCCTGTGAAACAACTGGCTGCTTCTTGTCCGTCGCAGCGTTATGTAACGTCTGCGGTGCTTATTAGAATTATAAACAACGACAGCACAAACTCTGGCCTTTGTTTATCGCCAGAGTCGCAGCAGCAGCAGCGCGCAGGGCCTACGCGAGCGCGGCCTTTTCATTTAAGGTTTCCATTCGTGGACCCAGAGAGAAAAACAAGTTTGTCACATTTATGACAAACAGAAAAGTACTCTTCAATTTCACACCGTCAAAAGTGAGGAATAAGGAACTTGTGAGAGCGGTGGGAACCCGAGGGAGTGAAAAACAGAACAAAGGGACAATCGGTCCCGGCCAAACCCCAAACCTCACGGGTTCAGATGGCCTGCGCAGTGTCCGCTGTGTCCAGGGTTGTCCATCTCATTGGAGCGTGTTTACGCTCTGCGGGTCTACTACAATCACTTACTGCAGGAAAAACAAGCCTTCGCCTTTGAACCCGTAGCCAAGAAAAAGACAGCGCTGCCTCCCTCTCACAGTGAGAGATACTCTGATTGTCTCTTTCCCACAGCCGCAGAGTCCAACAGCAGGTTGGTGGAGGAACGCTCGACGCAAAATAACAGGAGACAAATTGTGGGGCAGAAAGGGTTCATATTTTCTCTGAACCAAATGAAAGGCTTTGGGTTGTGGACCTCTCGGTCTACGCTGCCTAAACAAAGATCAAGTGTCGGCCGTGGCACTGTTCCTGTGATGAAACAAAGCCAAATTTTATTGACTGTTTCAGACAATTATATAAAAGAGCAAATTTGAGATTTTCCGAGACGCTCGGACCCAATTGTTCTGCAGAGCTCGAACGGTCGGGCCCTGCTGATTACACCTGCAGATGGGTTCGCTGAGGTGGAGGGAAGGGAATACAATGAGAAAATCCAAAGGAGGGAGATGAAGCAACACGGTCTGACACTAGAGAGTACTAGACAAACAGACAGTCAGAAACAAAAAGGAGGAAGTTCTCCAGTCTTTAGTCTACATTCCTCAGCCTGGAAAAACATCAGATCCCTAACCTACACCATCATCCTGTCTAAATCCCTGCAAACAATAGCCCCAGCTCAAGAGAGAGAAGAAGAAATTCAGCACAGGTGGTGTCAGGTGCTTCCTCGTGGAGACAGATGGAGCAGCAGGACAGATTACTGGAGAAAAGATACTCTTAAGCCCTTTTGCTCGCCTCGACGCTGCACAGGAAGTTGATCCATCTGACGCAGGAAAGAAAACACCTGTGTAGGTGCAAAAAAACTGAAAGATCTAGGTCCGCACTAGGACGCCATTTCCTGTTTCTATGACTTTACCTACAACAGAGGTGCAGTAGTAACAGGATTTTAACATTTATATCAGGGATCAGTCGGTACAACTTTTTCATATCCGTTACTGATACCGATACAACTTGATGTATCTGTCCATCCCGATACCAATCCGATACTTTCTTTTCTCCTTCTTAGCTGAGGCGACAGTGTCCCTATTTACAGCACATTGCGCAAAGTTAAGTTTAGCATTTGGGCTGAGGTATCGGATCAGAAGGGCAGTTGTTGTTTTTCTTTTCGATGTCCGATCCTAAAACTTTGACCAAAATCGACCGATGCTGATCATGACTATCATATCCAGTCATCCCTAATTTATTTGGTACGAAATGGTTCAGTGAAAACAGTCATCACCGAAAGCCTGTGAGAAGCCGTTGAACTTTAGTACTAAAGGTGAAGAGTGAAAGAAACTGTCGGAACCCTTAAGATTCTGGAAGTCTGAATCAGCCCAACCTACAATCTGTTTATTTTAGTCATTGTATTACAATGTGTACTTGGAAGTATTTTCGCTGATATAATCATAAGAGGATTAAAACTGACAGTGTGAGTCTGAGTGCTTCCGATCCATCACCTAACGTCTCACGGTCTATTTTAATGTCTGTTAAAACTTAAAACTTAAAAAGCTCCAAAAAGGAGGGGTCGCCCAATTGTTGATTACACACCCAATACAACAGTTAGAGATTATTATGTGGTTAGGGGTTGAGTTGGGGTAAGAGGTTAGAGGGTTAGGTCCCTGGTTGACGATACCGAAAATATAACTGATCATTTCATTTTTATTTTTTTTTATTTGATGACCTCTTGTTGACCTGAGGATAACAAATCTGTGATGTAGATCGGACCAGACTGAAAACATTTCTCACACGGTGAAGAAATGAACACACCTTCGGATTGTTGTTGTGTTGTGGTGATAACATGTCAAATGAGACATTTGGACTAAATGTAGTAGCAAAGAAATAAAACTGAAGTGCTTCTTAAAGCGTCGGACAAATTCACCACATCAAAAGTTTGAGAAGTGACGTCGGAGACGCAGGGTGTGATACAGAAAAAGAAGAGCTTCATGAGTTGAGGAGATTATTCCAACCGAAGAAAAAGTCAAAGTTACAGAGTCTGACAAAGAGACATTTACACTACGTTTCTTCAACGTTTTTTTTTTTTCTCTCTAAAGAGGTGATGTCGTCTTGTAATAACACAGAAACATGCAGATCAGGGAAGACGTGTTAGCTCTGGATAGCTGTTATTAGCCTATATGCTAAGTTCGGCATTGTGAGTGCAAAGTGACAGAGCATGAAAGCCTCGGTGCTGCATTTATCTGTCAATCTCTCAGCTTAAATGACATTTGTTGATAGAAAACAACACGTCATCAGCAAACAATCAAATCTGCAACTGAAAACATCGTGAATCCCTTGTATCGAAAATGGAGATTGGAACTTGGGATGTCCGAAAATAAGTTTTTGCTAATATCTGATATGAGATATTACTGTCCAACCCCATGCCCCCCCCCACATACCTGAGAGGACCACTTCAATGAGGTCTCCTTCATGGATGTCTTCTGCTGAGGTCAACCTCTGCAGGATGTTCTCATCGTTAAGGTCGTGACGAAACAGGAGGATCTTGTCGTACATCCCGAAGAAGCCACACTCTGGAAACTGAGAAGGAAAACACAGGGTTTAGTAAAAGTCTGACGGCTGACGGGATCAACACTGTATCTACACATGTATGTGTCCAAGTACTGTATATTTCCTTCCCTTTAAACACTGTTATAATACTCAGACTCTATTTGATCTAAATTATGTGAACGACTAGTTATAGCTAAGCTTTTTTGGGGCGAAGGCCTGGATGGACAGTATCGGCCGTTACTGTGGACCGGTAATACAGCGCCATCATTGAAGGATCATTTTAATTGTCGTGATAAAATACTTTATTCTGTTAGTATCAGAGTCTGAACGACCTATATTGCCAGATAATCCTTGAATGAAAAAAGTTGGGGTTTTTTTGGTAGGTATGGGATATGATTGAATTATTTATAAATGAAGTAAATGAGTAAAACTGAAGTACATTTTTTTCCACTGGGTCCCACTGCAGACCGGTACCAAATGACCTACGGACCAGCACCGGCCCCCAGACCGGATTTTTAGGATCATGATTATAAACCCAGGTTAAGATAATTCAGGCTATGTTCTTTATGTTTACTATTGCTATGTTTATCACCCTTGATGCTTGATGTGGACCAGGACTCCCAGCCTTGATGCTTGATGTGGACCAGGACTCACTCCTGTCCTACACAGTTAATACTCATCCATGCCTTAAATAGTTAACTTGTCCAACCTATGTCCTTGTGTCCAATAGTTTTATCCTCTGGCTCTACATGATCTTTCCAGAAAACCCCATCATCATTCATATTTTACTTTTCAAGGCAAAAAGAGAAGACAAACTGCTGCATTCAAACAACGTGCACAAAGATAACAATCCCGTATATTTACAACATAAAAGTCAAACATCCAACAACGTCTGTCCATGTCGTTAGTGAAGTCTGGGCCGAGACAAACCGAGACAAACCAGGCAGTAAACTACAGCTGAGTACCGTGGCACAAAGTCAGGTGATCAACCACACGGGGCGGAGACGAGGGTGGGAGAAGCAACACGGCGGAGGTAAACATCCTGAGAGAGGAGTGAAGGAGAATCAGCGCAGAGGAAGCACACGGCCAGTAAATACTGAATCACTTCCTGTGCTGAGGGCAGCTCACGCTTGTGCAGTGCACTGTGTTCTTGGCAGAGTACACTGCTGCAGACAGGTGAGGATACGTGGTGCGTATGCGTAAAGTACATGCGGTGGCAACAGTACACACACAGGAATACAGCGCACGATCGTAAACGGCGTCACGTCATTTTGAACGTCGGTGACATCTGTGTGCCAAACAGGCTGGTACTGTTGGATCCACCAGCTGTTTCCTCCCGAACCAGGGTCACATGCAACATGACACACAGAACAATGATGCCGTGGCCCAGCAGTTACGGGGTTGTGGGCATGGGCCACATAAGACACCTGCAGCCTTTTAGCTGCCAAGAGAAAGAGATCCGAAGACGGAGAAAGGGATAAACACGGCGTTTTATATTTTGAAAGAAAAGCTAAACAAAAGCAAAGACAAAGAAATGAGATATGAAAAAAATAAAAAATAACCAGACAAGGCTTTGATCATACATCCAGAACCTTCAAGACCAAAGGCTGGTTCTGAGATTATTTTTAATTTTTTTTTTTTTTTCAATTTACAAATTGGAGTGGGGTTTGTCTTGTCGGATGTTTTTTCTAATTCTGATTCTATCAGAAATGTTCAGTCATTTTCACAAACTGGGTAAATCACTTTTTTAGTTAGATAGTTTTTACCATTAAAATAATATATCACTGCTAAGACTGAATGCAGCTCTCTGTACTTAAGGAAGTATCTGTCACAGCGTGTTCGTTAAAAAAAACATCACATAACTTCGTACATAAACTCGTATTAACTCTGTGTTAACCTAATCAGAAGTTCTGATCCTTTCTCAGATTAGGTTGAGCAGCTAGAAGTATAACGTACATAACTACAGGTTGAGCAGCTTCTCTGTGACACTGCACAACAGAATGATGTTACATGAATCACTCTTCCAGTTCCTGCTGGTGACTCATTTGTGCTCACATGGCAGGAGCTCAGGCTAAATGACTCTCACTCTGAATGCAAAAAAAACAAACAAAAAAAAAAAACAGTTTTGTCTAGTAAATCCAATGATCCCTGTCTGACTAGCATATAACAATGTATTTTTTAAAGTTCTATTTATTAAATGTGTCAACTTTTTTTTCCATGCGCTTTTCTCACTTTGCTAGTTAGCTAGCACCATGCTAGGTGCTAGCTAGAGTAAACACAGGTACTGTGAAGTTTTCAGCAGTTAAGTTACATCTAGTCCACACCAGAACGACTTTTGTTTTTTTATAAGAATAACAATAACTAGGCCTGAAGGAACCAAAAGTTATACTTTCTCTCTGTGAGAAAAAAGCTTTTCAGATGATTACTCATCGGCACATAGGCCTGTAAAATGCAAACGTTTCCAGCTCGCCCACTGCTTCTGACAGTACCACATCCTAAATCCTGTCACCCCCGTGAGATGATTAACGCAATATGACCCACACCGTCACCCCCCGACAGGCGAGCAGGGGGTGGGGGAGGGGGTGGGGGCATCCTTCCTGAGGCGGCTGCCGTGTCATGGTGAGGTTTTCCTCCCCTCTTCCTCGACACACACGGAGAAATGCATGTCCACGCTAAAAAAGTGAAATCGTGGCCAAAGCGGCCATCTGGGGTCGTCACCTCTTGAAACTTTGTACCTAAATTTCCAGTACATATAACGGGTCGTACTGAGGAGCTACAAGCTACCAAATAATGACTGAAAGGTCAAAGGACACGGCGTTTTTCCGAGGACCATTAAAGCAAGAGGAAGCCGGTGAATTCAGAACAACAATACATTGTCAGACTGAGGGCAAATTTTCACATTAGGGTAATTACTAGCAAGCTTACAGGTGCATATATGTATGTGTGTGTATTTTTACGTATGTATTTCTATATTTATGTATAAATGTATTTTTCCATATCAAATATTGAAATACATTTGTCTATATATAAATATATATGTCTATAAAAGTATAATAAATATTTAATATATATAAAATATTGTAATTACTAGCAAGGTGCATGCATATATACTTATGTGTGTGTATTTATGTATAAATATATTTTTCCATATAAAATATATACATATATTTTCTATATATTTATAATAAATATATTCAAAAATATATATATATATATATTGCATGGAAAACAAGCCAGAAGACCAGGATGTGTGTGTTAAACAAAATGTAGGAATCCTGACACGTCATCAACCCGAACAGGCCAATCGCTGAAGCCCGCGGTGACAACGCATGTCTTTTGTCATCTTCAAAAGCAATTACGTTCAGTGGAGGAGCCGCGACCACACACACACAACAAAGATCCCGGCGTGGAGGAGCTGTGTGTGAGGTCCACAAGTCAGTCTGGAGGGACGAGTGGAAAAGCAGCTCTGCCGTAGTGAGCTCTGCTAAAACGAGCTAATCCGCCATTGATATGCTAAATCCTGTTATCTGGAAAGAAGTTTAGCGGGAGAAAAAGACGTGGAAAAGAGGGAGATGATTTAGTTTAAGGCAAGTTACAGGTCAAGGGTGGAACAGACATCTGCTGAGGTCGTTCCTCTACCTGGTTTCAATAACCAACTGGGCCATTAGGGATTATATTAATATTGGTTTCACTGCAAAGTTCGCAACACTTCACGATGAAAAGCAGAACATGAAAAAAAAAAAAAAAATCACTTGACATTACACTTCATGATAAATGTGACACAATTTCTCTCTGCTTCCTCCATGAATAATAAAAAAAAAAAAAAAAAAAAACAGAAACAATGTGCTGAGGTGACCGCAACAAAGAAGAGTAGATTTCACAAGAACACTTGTTGATTTTGTGTAAGTCAATGTGTGTGTGTGTCAGAATCAGACATACTTCACTGATCCCCATGGGGAAAACAAAAAATGGTTGGTGTAACAGTTACAGTTGCTCCTGCACCTGCATTTTTAAAAGCACCCAAGCATAAGAAATGGAACAGAGAACTGTTTGTGTGCGTGTGAGTCTGAGAGTGAAGTGTGGCAGAGGTGGGTGTCAAAAAGGAAGCTGGTTGAACGCGGTGCACAGGCTCTGACAGATGGCCATGTGATTACAGCGAGGAAAAGTATGCTGCTCGACCTCGGGCTTCCACACACCTTTATTGGTCTGGCAGCGGGCCGCGCAGATGTGGACAGAAACACACGGTACATGTGGACCAGACGGTTAATCTCACAGCTGAGAGACCGGGGGAAGTAGCTGCCCATAAAACTGCCCCGCGTTTAACTGGTCACACTGTTACGTTCCAAGAATTATTATCGTCAGAGTTCAGAAGGCCGATAACAAGTGGTCGTTCCAACAACAGCAGTTGACTGAAATATGAAGCTCACATTAAGGCTGCAGAGTGAAAAAGGTTTTTTTTTTTCTTCAAAAACTGATGGATTTTACCTTGATACAAGGTCAGTCCTCTCATAATGCTGAGATATTATTGGATCGACCGTCATAGCGGGGACGGTTTTGGACCGCGGGCCTTAGGTTTGACCTGAGTCTTAATAGGCTAGACTTTTTTTTTTTTCTTGCATTGACAAAGGCCCGTGACCCACTGAAAACCAGTATGTGACCCACTTTTGGGTCACGGCCCACCATTTGAGACTCACTGTATTGGATCACCGATAACAAAGGCAGGAGGGAATGCATCACTACTTTTGGTTTTTACATAACAAATATTGCCATCGAGCTGAACGTGCTTGAGCGTGAGAAAAATCCTTGTTTTTACATATGTTCTTTCAACCATGTAGAGTGAGCTTTGCTAAAACATGGTTGTTTTTTTTTAAAGCAGGAATTTGTGTTGATGATAAAAACAGAGCACATGATAAAATTAACAATAAAAAAAAAGTTGTCTTTTCTTGCCGTTTGCCAAGTGGCTCCAAAAATACATCTCATGACGGACACCTGAGCTGAGAACCCAACCCACACTGATGATCTCAATCGTG